ATATATAATTCACACAACATAGAAAATGATATGACAAATATGTAAATGTCACAAAAATTTTATGCTAAATGTTGTTTGACCTATTATAATTAATTTTGTTTTTATATCAAATGAATCAATATTTATCATAAAATGTGTTGAGATAATATTCTTTTTATTGGTCATTAAAAGTGTAAACGTACCGGTGAATCTTGTCACAAGTTTTGTTTTTTTCTACTCTTCGTTTTCTATTTCAGGGTATAAACATCAGCATGTCCTTCTTAGAACCCAGTTTCTCTCGCAGCGATGCAAATATTGAATCTTTTTAAATGACATTCATAGTAAAAATTATTATTAGAATTTCTCTTATTACATACGATTTTTTCTGTGATCTTTTCATACAAATTCACCGGAAACGTTGTTGCTACAAATTTTTCTATGAAATTTTATCTGCAAGTAATACCTTCGTAAATAATATATTTTTGCGAATTTTAAAATTCGTAGGAAATTTTTCTGCGAAATTTCTTGCGAAAAATAAATTGCAAGAAAGTTTCCCACAAAAAAAAATTCACAGGAAAGTTTCCTGCGAATTTTTTTGCAAGAAATTCTGCATGAATATTTTTACGAAAAAAATTAAAGAAATTACTATAAATTCTATCAATAATTCTTCAACTTTCAAATGTTCATAATGAATTCATCCGAAACATTTGTTTCCATGTCTCCGATATGTGATACATAATCTTTTAAATTCTAATATTGTAGATTATAAGCCTAACACTCAACCATACAAATCAATTGTAAGGTAAGTGTTACCTTAACTTATATAATCTTTAATTATTTTATTTTTAATCGATGTGGGTCTTGAAGTTTTTTTAAAATATTAAACTTATAAATTTAAATAAATTTTTTTATTTTTCCTGCAGATTAAAATTTGCAGGAAAATCTGCAGGAAAAGTTACTTGCAAAATTTTTCTACCATTTAGTAAACATTACTTGCAAATTTATTTTTGCAAGAAAATCTGCAAAAACAAAATAAAATTCTTACAGTATTTTCTACAAATCTTTACCATGGAAAAAAATTATATAATTATTAAAATTATAGCAAAATTTGTAGAAAATATTTGTAAATTATTTTTTGTAAATAAATTTGTAAAAAAAATTTGCGAATATTTCTTTGCAGGAAAATTTTGCAAATATTTTTTAAAATAATTCTAAAAAAAAATATACTTTTCTAGTAGTGATTGTTATGAAGTGTTTTTGAAGTAATCAGCCGTAACTACCAAAAGAAGGACATTAGAAAAATCACATCATTACCCGAAAATTTTTATCAAAACCCAAAAAAAAATAAAAATTACAATGACAATGACATTTGAAAAGTATGCACGACAGAAATAAAAGAGAATATAAATATAATAATAAAAGCTAATGGAATTGTAAGTAATGTTAGGTACGAGTCATACGTGGAGAACACTAATTAAACGGAAGTAATAATGTTAGGTAGGAGTCATATATGGGGAAAAGAAGTACATTAAAGGTGCATTAGATAATACCCGGTATATATAAATGTGTGACTTTTTTTTTTCTTTTCAATCGTACGTATAAAATATAATATATATATACATATAACAATTACAGATATAGACCAATTTTAAGCAACCCAATAAATTTCCTTCATTAACTTGTATAAAAATTATTACTATTTCTTAAAAAATTACAAGTTAATGAAGGAAATTTATTGGGTTATATATATGTATTTTATATATATATATATATATATATATATATATATATATTATGTATATGAATAGAAAAAGACACTTCATATTTTCCTTATTAAAAAAAAGCAGAAAAGGGATAGTTATTTAAAAGTGTATCTCTCTCATTAAAAAAAATTAAAACAAAAAAAGTAATATATAGAGTTGAGTAATTGTTTTGAAAGAAGTGGTGGTTTATAATTTATGAATGAGTTATTTAAGAATAAAATTAAAATTAAAATGTGTACGTAAAAATGGTCTATTACCTTTATTATAATTAATTGGTTGAAATATTTTGTGTTTTTATATTTTATTTAATAAAAATTATTAAGAATTATCAATGTTTGATAGATCAATTGGTATTATATTTAGTTTTCAAACTTTAAGATTTTGAGTTCAAAGTGAGGATTGCAGTTTGGTGTACACATTTTTAATTTACACAATTTTATTCTTAAATTTTAAATAATAGAAATTATATTAAAAGATAATTATACTCTTACAAAGATAAGACTTAAACTTAAGACCTTTAAGTTTAAAGATCAAATACAATACTAATTAATCTATTAAATATTGATAATTTTTAAACATTTTTATTAAATAAAATATAAAAACACAAAATACTATACTATAAATTTTACGTTAACAACAATAAAGTTAACACTAAAATTCTATACATATTACTTCAATCCTTACCAGAGTGATTTAGTAGTTTAAGTAACTATTATATTAAATTATTAATTGAATTAATATTGGACTTAAAATTCAAATTTTAACGGTTTTGAAAATCTATAAAAAAAACATCACTAATTTTGCCCTTAGAAGATATTGTGCAACCAAAATATATAGTATATTTTAAGAAGAGTAAATCATATATAAATGTGAAATATTACTCAAGTTATGAAAAGTTTTTTTTTCTTTTTTTTTTTTAGACGAGAAGTGTTTATTATTCCTTTTACCATTGCGTGGAGTCTTATTGGTGCGATTACACATTCTGTTTTTCTAGGTTTACACAAAATTTATAATCTTATTTACACACCGAGTCTATGTTGGAGTTATTTTTAAGATACAGAAAAAAGTGATGAATCATATACTATATATGATCTCACAAAAACGCCATAGGAATAGGATTAAATTAAACAGAAATCCATCAAGGTAACACTATACTTCCTTCGTCTTTGTATGCAAGACACATTTTAAACTTGTTTGTCACTTTTTATCATATTATTTATATATTATCTTTCATCGATTATTTTTTACCATAAGAGTTTCAATTACTATACAAAAAACGTTATACATTTGACAAGATAAATTCATTTTCTTTCTAATTAGCATTGGAGAACAAGACGTACATGCATAATTAAATATGAATTGTAATTAAGTAAAAACAAGCATGAGATGACTAGTCTCAACAATTAGGAGTAATTTTAGAGAAGTAATACAAATTGTTAATAAAATTTAATATTACTAGCTAAATCAAATATTTTTTTTTATTTGATAAAGAGGTATAATGTTTGAGTTAATCATCCATATACTGTCAATGTAAAGTTTTTTACACTGACAACTAATCATATCTTTTAAATTATTTTATTTTATTTTTATTTCTTTAAATAAGCAAGTGACATGACACTATTAAAAAATATGATTGATTGTCAGTATAAGAAAACTTTACACGGACAGTGTATAAGTGATTTACTCATAATTTTTTCCTTTCAAATTGATCCCTATAGAAATTGTTTAATGTGTATGAACTAATTAAAAATCTTATTTGAAGAGAAGGGAGTATATTTTCATCATTTTTTTAAATTGACAAAAAAATTAGAAGTCATCAAATTTTGTAAGTTTTACTTATTATATAATTAAGGCCACCCACAATTTTATAGTATATAATTAAATGGTTTTAGCTAATAGTAAATTAAAAGTATGTAAGAAGAGTGTTAAAAAAAGTTATTACTAGCACTTCCTTTATGTTAAATTTGCAGACCTGATAATTTTTTATTTTCCTCTAAAATGAAATTAATATACATAAATTTATAGACATAATTAAATTCACCTATTTAATTTCTAGAAGAGAAAAAGGCAGAAATATTTAGCATGATATGATCAGGTAATTAAAGATTAAACACGAGAGATTCGTGAGAAAAATTCAAGTCCCACATCGACTAGAAATAAAATAATTAAAAAATATATAAGTGAAGAATAATTCTCACCTTACAAACCAGTTTTATAAGATTGAGTTAAAATTAAATTCATAATGCTCGAATGATATTAGAGCTATCCTAAATGCTTAAAAAGGGTCGTCTATTCTAGATTATTCAAAAGAATCACTCACTATTTATCTAGTTCCAAGTCCAGTACGGGGTGTATTTGAGAAAAATTCAAGCCCATTGATTTTGTAAGATTTCACAATTCTAAAACATTCCCATAAACTACATGGGTAGGGAGTCAACAATACCGCATGCTTTACGCAAAAATGATTAGACAAATATTTATTTTAATAATATGGTGAATAGGATTTAAGCTTACCTATGAGGCAAGTGTCATGATGACGATCGACAATGAATAATCGAATGACTGCAACCATTATAAAAGGGTACTACTCTGCTGTAGTTTGTGCACCATCATAAATCGTGAGAGCAAAGTTAGAACAATGAAAATGAGTTCCAAATACATGCTAGTGTTGTTGGTCACATTGCTTTTAGCTGTAACCTCCCTTGCGAATCTCTCAAAAAGCAGCCATTATAAGCCTATTCCTCCATCCCACGGCGGCCACCACCAACAACAACACAGTAACCCACACCTTGATGGCACCCGTAAACCGCCATTTAAACGCAGACCACCACATGAGGAGTTACCCCTGAAGGAGCAACACAAAACCAATAAGCCTGGAAAAGGTAGTGGTGGTGGAACCAAACAACCATAGACATGATCCAAAGAAGCCACCAATAATCCCAACTACCAACTAAGTGAGTGTTTGTTCAATAATAGTCAAGGTTTTTTAATTGCGTTAAATAAGGTTTCAACTTTCAAGACCTTCCACAACCGACCCGCTGTATGCTACAACCATAATCGTAATTTTAAACCATGGCTAGCTAATATAAAGTATGAATCGTCGTGCCATATGAGCATGTATGATATGTAAAACGTGTGTGTTTTAAACTTTCGGTTCTGTATCTTATAGTTTCATGTGTTCATCACAATGTGGTTACTGTTTTGTGTATGGATGTACCGAATGGATATGTGTGAAACCTTGCACTTGTCCAACAAAGCTGGTGTGTGTGCTCTTTTATTAATTTTAACGGTTGGATTATAAACTATACACGCCATGCAGTTTTTGGTTCTGAGTGTTGGGCCTTAGTTTCTTTGTTGGTCCACGTAAAATTGTGTGTGCAAGAAAACAATTATGAAATATATGAACAATTATAAGGTGAATTTGGTGAAGCAAAATTTCTAATAGGTGTGATACTTAGTAATCCTTGGATTTAGATGGATGAAAGTAATAGCCAAAACCATGATAATAATGAATTAATAAAAGAAGAGAAAAAATACAGGATAGAATCAATATCCTACCTCATTATGACAAAAGGATAAAAAAAATATGGATTTATAAATACACACAAAATTCTCATTTATAAATTGGAAATTTAAACACACATATCTATGCATTTGTATAATATTAATATTATCTATTTTAAGTATAAGTCCTCAATCAATAGTATATTATTGTGTATGATTAAATAATTAACTTTTACAATATAATTACATTTAAAGTCATACCAATAATAATTTATGATTGATTGAACGTATAATACTATTTTACATTAACATGACCATTAAACCATAAAAAGAAAAAGAACAATACTAATATTTTTATTACTAATAACCATAATTATAACAATTCCAACACTTATTGAAAAAATAAGATGTAGTCACAAACATTAAACTTATTTTTATTAATAATATTTATTTATTTTATTTTCTAAAATTGTGTCACTCTAAATAAGGTTTCAACTTGCAAGAGCTTCCACAACCGACCCGCAATATGCTGCAACCATAATCGTAATTTTAAACCTTGGCTAGCTAATATAATGTATGAATCGTCGTGCCATATGAGCATGTATGATTAAAAGAAAAGTTGGGAGTTTGAATCTATGTAAAACATGTGTGTGTGCTTTAAACTTTCGGTTCTGTATCTTATAGTTTCATGTGTTCATCACGATGTTGTTACTGTTTTGTGTATGGATGTACCGAATGGATATGTGTTAAAGCTTGCACTTGTCCAACAAATCTGGTGTCTATGCTCTTTTATTAATTTTAACGGTTGGATTACAGACTATACACGCCATGCAGTTTTTGGTTCTGAGTGTTGGGCCTTAATTTCTTTGTTGGTTCACCTAAAATTGTGTGTGCAAGAAAACAATTATGAAATATGAACAATCATAAGGTGATTTTGGTGAAACAAAATTTCTAATAGATGTGATACTTAGTAACCCTTAGATGTATGAAAGTAATAGCCAAAACCTTGATAATAATGAATTAATAAAAGAAGAGAAAAAATACAGGATAGAATCAATATCCTACCTCATTATGACAAAAGGATAAAAAAATATGGATATATAAATACACACAAAGTTCTCATTTATAAATTGGAAATTTAAACACACATATCTATGCATTTGTATAATATTAATATTATCTATTTTAAGTATAAGTCCTCAATCAATAGTATATTATTGTGTATGATTAAATAATTAACTTTTACAATATAATTACATTTAAAGTCATACCAATAATAATTTATGATTGATTGAACGTATAATACTATTTTACATTAACATGACCATTAAACCATAAAAAGAAAAAGAACAATACTAATATTTTTATTACTAATAACCATAATTATAACAATTCCAACACTTATTGAAAAAATAAGATGTAGTCACAAACATTAAACTTATTTTTATTAATAATATTTATTTATTTTATTTTCTAAAATTGTGTCACTCTTCTTAATTAGTTGGTATTAATTAATTAATTTTGTAAAAATTAATTTTTAAATAGCATCACTGAAGTCATCATATTCCAGTATATTTAAGGTAAATCAAATCAACATATTATAGTTCAATTCAATATTAACTTATATAATATACAATATCTATAATTTAAATTGAAATAATGTATAAATTAAACTTCATAACAATGCAAGAAAGTTAACTATAAAGCTAAAGTTAATAATAATTGTCATTAATTAATAACAACGTACACAAAAAATAATGTACACAAATATATATGCATCAAATAAAACTAAAATAGAAATTTCTAGTCAATATACACAAATAACAACAAATATTATAAACAAAACAAGTAATAACTTAATACCTACAAACGTTAGGAAGAGGAGGAGGAATATCACCTATGCTAGCCACAGGTCTATAAAAAGAAAAATAATCATGTTAATAATTAAAATAATAACAAATATTATACACATAAAAAATAATAATATAATACATACGAACTTTTGGTCCCAAGTAGAACACGAATCTAGAAGAGGGGGTTGAATAGATTTTTCACTTACACGGCTTCTAATGGTGTCTCTTGCTTTGTTGCTAATTTTTTTTCTTTCATATACAACTTATATAAACACATTCAGATTACAAACCAAATAACATATAAAAGTATATCAAAATTATAACCGAGCGGAATAGAAGTTGTAATCCAGATTAATTTTAATAATTACCTTCCTTCACTTTATTACCAAACTGCATATATAATATCAGATTTCACAAATCAACAATCTATAATATTCAAGAAAATGTTTCTTTTACAATCTTGAAATTCTTTTTATCATTTCATTATGAATTATATAACAAGATATGAAGGTAGAGAGAGAAATTGCAAAGTAATATATACTAGTTCAGCCATACAAAGGCCTACATCCAGTTTCAGACTTAGCTCCCCGCTAAATCCAGTCTTTTTACTATAATATTCTTTACAATCACTAGTAGAAAAATAGTCTTTTACGTCACTATTTTTACGTCTGTCAAAACAGAAAACAACGTACAAAAGACGCGGTGACATTTTTGTAAATTTTGTGAACTTTTTTACGTCGGACTTAATAGGGTCCGACGTAAAATGTAAAATCTATGTCCCACGTATTTAATGACCGACGTAAATTTTAAATTTTACGTCAGAGTTTACTGTACCCGACGTAAAAAATCTCTCCATATTTTCCCGCCTCAAGAACCATTTCGGTAGGTTTTAAATTGAGCCATTTCGGTATAACTGGGTAGGGGAACGTAGCTCTCTCACAGAAACTTCCTTTGGGATTAACTGGGTAGAGGTGCCAGATGCTAAGCTGTGGAAGAGAGGTGCCCGATGCTCTCCGCTGAAACAGCACTTCAAGCCTTCGAAAGCTGTGGAAGAGAGGTGTTTTTTTCTTCATCCACACCAACATTGTAGATGCATGGCAACAAGAGAAAGGTCACGTTTCCTTTTCCCATGTACAAGTTCCCTTTTGTATGTATTTTTCTTCACTGCTGCACCCTCTCGTTTCTTCACAAGTAGAAAATTCTTTGCGCATGGGTGGATCTGCAGCAAAACGGGCCGTTCTGCAAGGAGAACGGGCCGTTCTCCAAGCAGAACGACCATTCTGCTTGGAGAACGGGCCGTTCTCCTTGGAGAACGGGCCGTTCTCCTTGCAGAACGGGCCGTTCTCCTTGCACTCAATTTTTTTTTATTAAATTTTTTATAACTTTTTACGTTGAACCTTGGCACGTCCGACGTAAATTTACGTCGGTTTTCGCACCCCGGCGTAAATTTACGTCTACCGCTTCAACGTCGGAAGTTTTTCTAACGTAAAAACCCCTAAAATGACCGACGTAAAAGGTGTATTATGTACTAGTGAATCACCATGTATTAGCAATATTATAATCAAAAAACATATTCAACTAATCTTTGATCCCACAAGATTATACAATCTCTAGAATTCTTGCACCTCAAGAATCCACTTGAGAAAACCTATCTCAAGATTTCTCTTTCACTATTTCATGAGAAACCCTTATTTCAAAGAGTCACATACCATAGCATACCCAGCTATACGAACAAGAGTTACAAGATTAGAAAACATACACCTGTAGTGCAGATTGATCTTTCACAATGAATTGTTCAAATTTTTTTAATTTCTTGAACTTCTTTCAAGATAACATCTTTCTTGAGTTTCTTTGCTCTTGAATTGTTCTTAAAATATTTGATCTTCTTTAAAAAAATGATTTTCAAATTCTTCTAAATGTTTTTCTATATATAACTCTTTGATTTTTCTAATCAAATATGTCATCCTTATTTTAAGTTTTCAAAAAGAGTTATATTTATAGAGAAAATAAGATTTCAACATTAAAATCTCTTAACAGTAGTAATCTATTACCAATATCAGGTAATCTATTACCAATTTTTAATGAGAATTGAAATCTGAGAAACAAGAACAGAGGTAATCGATTACTAAAGTTGGTAATAGATTATCTTGATACTTTTTTTTAACTTTTTTTTCACTCAAAATTCACCATGGTAATCAACTACATGAATAGGTAATCGATTATCACAAAAAGGATGTTGAATTCCACTTCAAAACAAAGTTTCAGTAATCTATTACCTCACATGGTAATCTATTACGTGACTTAATCATGAATTTTTTTTTGAATGAACCAAGTTTCAATTTATGTCAAAACACATTGTAATCTCTTACATTATGTTTTCATATGAAATGAGAAACATTAAGTTGAAATATAAGTTTTATGTTTTCTAAAACAAGATGTAATTTTGAAATTAATTCATTGCAATAAGAAAACACATCCAAGCCTATGTCAAATAATTAGATATACATTATCCTTTTCAACATAGGCCATGAAATATAAAAATGAATGAAGCAAACTAAATAAATCTAAACGAATCTAATGCTATCATCATTTAAACTAAAACTTCTTTAGTCCTCATAAAGATCTTCAAGAGGGGGCTTCAATAATTGACTCAATAATTAACTTAGTAATTAACTTGAAGTTAGCGGAAAGACACATAGAAGGAGGGGGAGTTGAATATGTGTATGTGTGCGTGAAAAAAGGTATTTTAAAAACATTTTCACAAAAGTAGTACTTCTTCGTCCACTGCACTTTTGAATATCAGACGGTTGTGCAGAGTTTGCTTAACATAAGATCAATGCATCTGAAGAGTTTATCGTCCACTAGGGAAAATGTCTCGTAAAAATATTAATTGAAGTTCTTACATTTTCCCTTTCAAGATAGTTTCGTTTAAGGACAAGTATTAGATGAAACTTTTAGTGTAATAAGTTTGTCAAGCAAAGTTAGCGTCTTCGTCCAAAAGTTATTTTAAAGAGATATAAATATTGGACGAAGTCTTTCACAAATGTTTAATCAGTAAGGAAGATTTGCATCTAAGTAAATAAAAGGATGCAATCTTTTTATACTGGTTCACTCAATTTGAGCTACGTCCAGTCTCCTTCAATTGAAGGGTTCCACTAGATATGCAATTCAATACAAAAATATTATCGACCACTTCTGGCCCTGAGTATTCTCGACTACTCCTGTCCCGTCAGCTTCACTCACCAACGCGATTATTCTTAAACCACTTCTGGTTCTCCAAGTATTCTTGACCACTCCTGACCTGTCGGCTTCACTCACCAACGCGATTATTCTTAAACCACTTCTGGTTCTCCAAGTATTCTCGACCACTCCTGGCCCGTCGGCTTCACACACCAATGCTAGTATTTTCTTCTCAGCCACTTCTGGCTAGTAGTGAGTATTCTTTGACAATCGTTGATGAACTTTGGTTCTAGATCTTCAATATCATTTATTTCATTTAGCACTATATTATATGCAAACACGTTATCAATATTGACATTATTTCAATTCTATCATATTCCATTCATGACATAATTTATTGAGATCTCTTCATTTTCAATAATTTCAAGTACCTGAGTTTCTTTTGGAATTGAAATATTAGTTATGTTAGAGGAATCTTTTTGAGTTTTTACATCCTCAATTTGGTCATTTTGCTCTTTAGCTCCCTTTTTTATTTGAGGATTCTTATCCTTGGAACCAATTGGTCTACCACGCTTCAAGGGTATTTGTGACTCGTTTGCAATATTAGATTGTCCAACAGGAACTTCGACTCTTATTGGAGCATTAGTCGCTGATACATATGACTTAGTCACCCATTTTGGATCTGTGAATACATTTGGTAATTGGTTGGCTATATTTTGTAAATGAATTATCTTTTGAACTTCTGGTTCACATTGTTTTACAAGGATCAAGATGAGATAGTGATAAC